CTATTTAGTCAGCGTAACAGAACTTGTGAATCTTCCAATTCTCTTAAGGAATTATTATTAGACACTACCACAGATTGTTTGCATGAATTGTCAAATCTAGGAATTGATATAAAGTCATGGGATGTTATCATCATATACATAATTAGTTTGAAGTTGGATGTGGAAACTCGTAAACAATGGGAATTGTATGTTAGCCAGTTACCTGATGAACTACCGACGTTTAAGCAACTAAAATAATACTTGGAAACAAGATTTCGAGCTTTAGAATTTGTGGAACCTAGTAAAACTCGCCCCAGTTATGACAATGTAAACAATAATCCTAAAGCATTACATGTTACTTCCAATTTTACATGCCCCCATTGTTCCGAAGGCCACCGACTGTATAATTGCAAACAATTTGCTAAAGAAGATGTTGATAAGCGAAGAAATATTGTTCAATCACTTGGCCTTTGTTTTAATTGTCTTGGTTATAATCACAGTAATAAAATATGTCGCGTAACAATCAAATGCCGAATTTGTAAGTGAAAGCATCACACTTTATTGCATCCAAAAAGTCAAGTTGATTCAGCGACATGCGGTGTCGCAATGGAATCGACATGTAATAGCATTATCATACTTAAACAATAGTATTCGTGAAATAAAGTAACAGCGATTCGTTTCGATGTATCTTAAATATACATTTACATGTAAATATTTACTAAAACTTTACACATTTCTTAGTTAACATTGTTTCATGGCAAATGTAAGAGCACTTGAACTGTTTTGGCTATTTGGTTCCCGATTAGAGTTACCCGCCAATTTTATTTGTCGCGTCTCTTCCCGCCAATTTTATTTGCCGTACTGTACTTCGAATTGTAAACGATAAAACAAAGTGTTCTCATACATAGTCAAACTCTGATGGATTACGTTAGTATGCGTATATATTTTGCTTAGAAATAAGACGGTTCTCATCAAACATGGTTGTACCACGTAGTAAATGTTAATATTTAGTAGCCAACAAATTTTACTAAATGTAATAAGGTGGTGTTTATTAATAAAATGTATACTCGTAGTAAGTATAATATAGAAATATTTTCTTAAATTAAAATTAGTAAAAGCTTATAATGTTTGTGAATCGTGTGTTTATCTTGGGATTTAATTTTCCTACTGTTGGTCAATTCATATCGTCTTTAGTCAATTCTGTAGTTTTTAAAGGTAGTAATTAAGTCAGAAATAATTTAATTTTCATATTATGTCTTCGATCACTTCAAGAGCCAACTTTTATATACAGGGTATTTTTGGAACGCTCCCGAAAACTAAGACAGGCGACAGCACCAAGTATACCTTTGATCATGGGTCACAAATAAATTCGATCCTGATGAAAAAAAAATCATCTTTTTACAAGGTTTTATTAGCTTTATTCACGCGCCATCATGTTAGTACAGCTAAATGAAACGATAATTTCATAAAAAATATCATGAAAATACTGAAACATAAAACCAGCAGTGGAATGACTGAATTGATATCACCTGACCTGAGCTAGATAAAGGTCAATGTACGCGCGAACACAAATTCGCGCGGCCCGCAACTAGCGGGCCTTCCAACAATACCTAATAATTTACAACACGTGTCTAAATACCTAACTTATCTACTTAACCTACTATTTTGCCACTGTGCTTATCTCCACGTAGCCACTTTAATCCGAATTTACAGGTTAAATAACTCAAATAACTGGTTCGATTCCCCGCTAATGAAGAAATACTTAAATGAAATGTAACCAAGGTTGGAGTCATGCGTTTTTATTCATCGTGTAGGTATGTTTATTATTCTCGTGTATTCAGTTATGTACCTATTCAGATTAGTCTAGTACTAAGTTATTTAAAAAAAAATAGTTATGAAACAGCTTACTGCTCTAAATCCTCCGTGGTCTTATGAGATGCGGCTCAAATTGTGCTCCATTCATTTCAAGGCAGACTTGGGTGCAGGCGGGGCATCATCGTGTGGTCTTCGACACAGTCCGTACGTAGTTTCTCGAAAGCATCCACGATCCTTTGGCGCATTTCTTCAGCACTATCACATTCACGATTAAAAACCCTTTCTTTCACATACCCCACAAAAAGAAGTCTAACGGAGTCAGATCTGGTGAGCGAGGTGGGCAAGCGTGTGGTCCTAGTCTGCCGATCCAGCGATCATCAAATAGCTCATTGAGGCGCTCACGGACGAACCTTACGAAATGTGGAGGGGCACCATCATGTTGGAACTATGTGCGGCGATATTCAGCCAACGATAGGTCGTTTAAAATGTCAACCAACTGTTCATTTATAAAGTTTAGGTATCGCTGTCCGTTCAGTCGCTCTGGCAGAAACACTGGTCCCAGTATGCGATCCTTAAATAAACCTGTCCATACGTTAACCGACCATCGGGTTTGGTGCCCGGTTTGTCGAACAGCGTGCGGGTTAACCTCTGAATACACGTGTGTATCTCTTCGGTTCCACAGGCCGTTTCTGGTAAATGTCGACTCATCCGTCCAGATAATGTGCTCAATGGAACCAGGCACACGTTGTTGCTGATATAATAACCAACGGCAGTATAATAACCACTATAAACGTACGCGTTAGGCATTATTAAAACAAAAAAGAATCCAAAAACGTAACAAAAACTTTAATATCAACACGTAATCACAAGTAAATTTATTAAACAAAACGATTGAACTGTCGCTCGCGCACGCGTGTACAAAATCAACACGAAACTGTCTCAAAAACTAAAACCAACGAACCCCGTCAAGGCTGAAAATTACTGCGTCACAAGCGTGAGGCGACAGGGTTAGGCATTCTGCCGTCATAATAAAAAAGGAAGTAACTAACAAAAACGTACAATGGAAATAAAAATTAAATTGATGAATTTTTCTTTCAGACCCCGTGTCTAAAGTATATTAAAAGGTATCTATATTGAAATATATACGTAGAGACATGAAGATTTTAAGGACGAACTTATTTTTTTTTAAATTTGTTTATTTATTTAAATAAAACGAATTTTCCTTTTCATCTTAGCTTAAAAAATACACCTGGCAACACAAAAACATCGAAGGAAAGACGCATATAACTATTTGCGTCTTTCCAACCTAATAAATTAAAAAAAAACTGCCATTCATTTAACAATTTTACATATTTTGGAAAGGTCATTTGAAGTTGAAAGGACGCTAATAGTAATTTACTACTTTTTTTTTAATAAATATTAGAAAAGCATTGGTAGTGAGACACAAAAAATAATAATTTTAAAAAGTAATGATTTTAAAGGGGATATCATACAAGACTTACTACGATAATAATTAAAAATTAAAAATTTTGTACAACCGACTTTAATATAAATAATTAAGGATAACTCAAAAACTATTGGTCTGACCTCGATCAAATTTATATGGGACCACATGTGAAACACCAGCTCTTAACAATAAGATATAAGCTCTTAATAATAAGATATAGAATAATAAGACAAGACCAAGAATAATTGAAATTTAAGTAATCGATGCAAATATTGTTAAAGATGACGTAGCAACTGGTTAAATAAGTCTTTTCTTTTATGTTGAATTTGTATAAGTCTTTTCTACTAAAAAAAGTCATCTGTGATCAACAGTTACGTCTAAAATTCTTACGATAATTTCTAAAATATTGATATTTGTGAATATTAAAAAAATTTAGTAGATGCGCCTTCTTATCATGAATCGAATGGTATATTTAACTCATTTATTCATAAATTGTTAGATACGCCCTTTTTTCTTACGACCGCGTGTTTCGTACCGAGCTAGATACAGGTCGATAGCGGAGGGGGTGTGGGTACAATCGCGTTCTAAAGTACTACATGGTATTGGGCTATTGTTTTATAATATTATAGTAATTAATTGTTTTAATGTAGAATCATAATAGGTGTTTTACTAGCTACTTAGAACTTTGGAAGAGGTGGGAATTAAAAATGGATAATGTTTACATGAGCATTATTTGTTGTTTCTATCGTAAAATATAAAGTAGTTTGTAACAAGAAAACTTTAGCTAAGGGTAACACGCCGTCCATTATGACGTCTTGGGTCACATGGAAGCCAGATGTTAATGGTGTGTTGGTGTTACTGGATGCTACTTGATCATCACTTTCATCTTCGCTTGAGCTTCCGTCATCAGGTCGATCACATGGTAATTTTTTCGGTATTCTTCCTCCACACTTTTAACTTTACTGCACAATTTTCCCCATTCACCTTCTCCTATCATATTTACCTTTTCGATCACTAGTTTAGTCATAAAACAATAGATATAAATAATTTTTCTTTCCTTCCTTTTTAAAACATCGTCGCGAGTCGCAAAGTAAGCTGTGTATGCGACTGTATTTTTGGAGCGAACAAAGCGCGGGAACCAATAGCATGCAGGCACACTAATACTGGCGGATTGTTCCCCCGTCGTGCGCCTTTCGTACCAATATGTGATAAATCGCTCAGTGCCCAAGTTCAAGGCCAGCGTTTGTTTTTCACCGTTCGCGCGTACATTAACCTCCATTAGTCAGGTGATATCAATTCAGTTTCCACTGCTGGTTTTATGTTTCAGTATTTTCATGATATTTTTTATGAAATTATCGTTTCATTTAGCTGTACTAACATGATGGCGCGTGAGTAAAGCTAATAAAACGTTGTTAAAAGATGATTTTTTTTTCATCAGGATCGACTTTATTTGTAACCCATGATCAAACGTATACTTGGTGCTGTCGCCTGTCTTAGTTTTCGGGAGCGTTCCAAAAATACCCTGTATATGTTTTAAAAATAAAACTTTAACTTTAAACAAAGAAAGCTCACATCACCTCTGACGATTCAAATGTTATGCGTCACAACTTGTAATTACACTGGCTCCCTATGCCCTTCATATCTGAACATAGCAGTGTACACTCTGCTGTTTGGCGGCAGAAATACGTAAGAAGGATAGTACCAGCTCAGACAGGCTCCTAGGTAGAAGTAGTCTGACCATTCATAGATAGATGTGTATTATTAGCTCTTACATAATATATATGTACGAGTTTTGTAGCAGCTGGTGTTTGGCCCATGTTAATGAATATTACCTGCAATGGCTTAATGTGTGGGTAGTTGAAATAATATTCCAATGTCCTGTGTGAATCTTATTCCAATGTATTTTTAGAATATTAAAAGCTTGCATTAGGTTCTTGGTGAAATAATAAATACAACTCATGTATTAATAAGTCGTAATTGAAATTCACGCACGGTTTTGATTTCCTATTTAAAGATTAAATGTGCAAAAAGGGTTAAGGCCCTCTTGTGGTCGGTGTGTAGGTATATGAAAACGTTACTTCTTTCCCTGAAATTTTCGAGCGAATTAGTACTAAAGCGGGAAGAATTTTCGAAAAAACAACATACGTCCAAAAGTAGAAGGTACGCACAGGGCTTCCGCGAGCGCCTTAACTGTTCGATTCAATTTAGTTTTCTTTTTTAGATAAAAATTATTTCGTTTTTTTGCAATAACTACATATATGTTCAAAAGTATTACAACATCACATTAGAAGTTTTATTTATAATCGTAGAGTAGAGAGGTATGAGACAGATTAATTAGCGTGCTAAGTATATTTTGTTTTAAAATATCTTTGTGTATTATTCATCACTGCTTAAAAATGTACGAGTATAAAGTGCTTGGTACACTTGGTAGGTAATAAACGTATATTATATGTGTTGTTGTTTGTAATTATGTCATATGAGCTTTCATATATTTATTATATATGTAAAAATAATTAAATGAGTGCAGGATGGTAATCGAGCTTAATTTGAAAGGCATATCTATATAATACGTTTAGAAATTTAAGATAAGATTGTCATAATAAATGTTTTGGTTGTTTTAAGTAAGGATAATAAAAGATAAATGTGTCCATTTTTATCAGTTGTATTTTTAAGCTTATTTCATATCAGGTTCACCTTTTTATTGATATAAACTTAATATGAGTGCAATTGTGACATTAAATTGTATGAACGGAGAACGCATATTAGTGTGACAGTAATTTTACCTAATACTTAATATGGCCAAAGCTTTGAACGGTATTTAAGTAATTTTTCCGTAACAGTGAACAAATTTGTATTAACAATATTGTACCTCACTTTATTTTAATTAATATGTTAGTATTATTTACACATATGCCATTCCACGAGATTTGCTCAGTCAACAATCATCATTGTATGTTTGATTGTTGAGCAAATCTCTTGCATTAGTTGTTTCCTCTTGAAATCTTACAATGAAGAAAACGACTACGAAGGGATCAACTCCCGATATAAAATCTACTTTGCAGAAAAAGGTTTATATAGTCTCACGAAGTTTTCTGAATAAATCGCTGTATGACTATCACAGACTTTAATATAAATTAGATCTGCTTTAGAAATAAAATAATTTTTATCTAGTTTGGAGCACCTCTTTCTCTTCCTTAATTGCGTACACTTCACCGTCAGGTGCAAGTAGACTTTGCGATGATCTATTTCTTAGGATGATGCCTCACTTAGAGGCAAAACACGTGCATAATCAATGGTGATTTGTTTCTGTTTTCTTGGTATTGGGAGTAGGTATTGGCGTAGGGGTTATTGGTGACGGTGATAGTGCAGGTATAATTCAAGTAGGGAGTGGGTTAGTGTTCAAGATAGGGAAGACACGTTATAAATATTTTTCACGCGAATCTTACCTGATTTATTTTAAACAGATTTGATTTATAAATTTTTCGCAAAGTAACGTCTGATTCTATTAATTGCCATTAACATTAGTTGGTCTCGTTAGCTCGAATGACAATAACCACAATAACCGTCCACACTTTTTTTTATTATCTTTGTCGCACTTTTCTGACGGACTCAGCATAAATTAATTATGCACAATATATTTCAATAGGATTTATTATAATAAAAAATATGTTAAGTGTTAATTAGAAAAAGCAAGACAAGTAAAGTGATCCTGATTATGTAGAATTGTAGGTTCTCTCTATGCATACATATGTATATAATTACTCTAAGAACTATACTACACGGGCGGTTCTGCCGCCGCGGGAACCCGCTTCTGAACCGCACTAGACTCAATTTTATATGGACATTGTATGCCACAAACTACACTGCGCGGTTTCCCGCCGCGGTTTGCAGGCGGGGGAAATTCGACCGCCGCATGCAGCGTCAAACCGCCGCTGTTAACCGCCGTTTAAAACTACACGGGCGGTTATCCGCTATTGCGTCATTCTGCGCGGGACCTCGCTCGCTCGTCGTGTGTGCGCTTGCGTGGCTAGTGGCGCGTCAAAATGTTCGACACGGAGCGTTTTATTATTGAAGTACAAGAAAGACCTCCTTTATATGAAGTGAAGTCGAAGGAATAAGCCAATCGGGAATTAAAAGCGAAGTTATGGATGGAGATAGGACAGGAAGTGGTTGCTCATTGGGCTGATTTTGGCCCAGAAGAAAAAAACAAAGCTGGTAAGTTTACTTATTATTTTATTTCTTAATTTAATGTATCATCCTGTTTTGCCAAGGAACCGCTCCAGGGCCATTGAAATATTGAACAAACGAATCTCTTACTGAAATGCCACTAGATCGGCCTCCAACTGCCTGGACTTCGTCGAATTCTTCCATATCACATCGAATCGTATCTTCAAATTGATAACCATCTCTGAGTCTTACGAAATTGTGTAATACACAAGCAGCTTTTATAATGTATTTTGCACTCTGTGGATTGATTATAATGCTTGAATGAAAAATTCGCCACTTGTTACTAAGGATACCAAATGCACATTCCACAAAGCGGCGGGCTCTAGACAATCTATAGTTAAAAGTTTTCTTAGGCGTGTCTATGTTTCGTAAAGAAAATGGTCTCATAACATTTTTATTTAAACCGAATGCAGCATCACCTACAAATACAAAAGGCACACGAGGATTTCCTATATTGTTAGGAAGATGAATTGGCTCCGGTAAATCCAATTGAGAACGAGTTAACTTTTGCCCGAAATTTGAACTTTTAAAAATTGAAGTCACTTTCTCGACCTGGAGCACCAATGTCAATGAATGTAAAACAGTAGTCTGCGTCAACCACTGCCAATAAAATAATCGAATGATATTTTTTATAATTATAATATTTAGATCCAGCATTCGGAGGGCAAACAATTCTAATATGTTTGCCGTCAATGGCTCCAACGCAATTAGGAAAGTTCGCTTCTTTGTAAAATTTCTCAGCAATGTTTATCCATTTTTCCTTATTTGGTTTTGGCATCTCTAAAGGTGCTAATTCTTGACTAATAGCATGACAGGTTTCTTTTACAATGAATGGTATAGTTTTTCGAGAAATTCGAAAATCGTACTCCAAATCAGTGAAATTTGCTCCCGAAGCCAAATATCTGAAAAATAAATAAATGCCATATTAATAATACATTTCTTTTTTGCAGTAAAGGACCTAATAAAGAAGTGGAAGAATATAAGAGATAGTTATAAAAAAGAAGTAAATTTAGAAACTAACACAGTGTCGGGACAATCATCTCCAAAAAAGAAACGATATATTTATTATGAGTTGTTGTCCTTTTTACGCCCTAGCGTCAGTATTGCAGAAGAACGTGAGTCCAACGTATCTCCAATACCTTCGAATTCATCACAAAATCAGGATTTTGAAGAAGATAATTTGATGAGACCACCGCGACAAAACCGAGTTCCTACCAAAAGAAAGAAACAAATGGAAAGTACCCAAATTCCGCAAATAACAAAAATTTTGAATGAAAGTTTACAATTACAAAAGTTAAATAACGATAGTGACGCAAAAGGAAATCGAGCATTTCTTATGTCCTTTGTACCCATTATGGATTCCATGACTCCTAATTTGGCTATGGAAACTAGATATGAAATTACGAATTTATTCAGAAATATACAAAGAAACGAAAGAAACCGCAGTATTCCTAGCAACTTGTCTGAGTTTCTTTACCATAGGAACCAGGAGCCATCTGCGAGTTCTGGGTCTAGAGCATATCACGAGGACACATTAACTCCAATGACTAGTATCGCATCGCCACAAAACGATACTGAGTCGGACACATCAACGGAAAATGATGATTATTTTAATGTTCTGCATTACTTACCCTAATAAAAAAGATTACATAATAAAATAATGATATTTTATTTACCTGAGAGTTACAGCCAAACGTTCCGCAGGTGTGATGGATCTTCGCATATTTGTATCTTGTTTCTTAATACGTTGGCTTATAATTGATAGAAGTTCATCAAATGAGTTCACAGACATTCTATAATAAGAGAAAAACTTATGAGGGTTATCACGGTGTGCACTAAACATTGAATGAAATATTCCCGAAGTTAAACGGTTACTTAACACTGGTTCCACCCAAACATTGCGGTTAACTTTATTTTTTTAATAATTCTAATAATATAAGAGCTGCAAGCGCAGTTATCATTGGCGGATCCATGTTAAAATGAACGCAAAACAGCGGTAAACCGCGTTCCGTGTAGTTTGCTAGCTTGCGGGAACTTTGTCGAGCGGATTCCCGCGGCGGGAGAATCGCCCGTGTAGTATAGTTCTTAGGGTACGCGTACCGCGCGAGCTAACTCGCAGCGCGAGCCATCGTCAGTCGGTTTTTGGTCGCGCGTCAAAGAGGACGCACGCGGCCGGCTACGCTATACTTGGACGGCAATATGAATAAACACGCGTGTTCTTCGAGTTTCAATAATGAAAATATTATCAGATTGATTCAACTTTATGAATTTCACCGAGTCTTGTGGGATAGCACACTAACTGATTATCGAAATAACGATTTACGCCAAGATGCATGGAAGGCAATTTCAAATGAACTGAAAATTCCAATAGATGAATTAAAAAAAAAGATGACAACTTTATTAGCAACTAATAGAAAAGATAGGAGCAAAATCAAAAAAAAATTTAGTAACAGGATCGGGTAAGTTTTTAAATTGTTTATTTACGCATTGTATTGTCGCATTATAAATTGACATATTTATAATACCCTATATACTTTTATATCTTTTTTTTTTACAGGAGCTAATGATGTATATATATCGAAGTGGTTTGCATCTGAATATTTTACCTTTCTTAATGATAAGGACAAACCTCTGCCAACAACGGAGACTACTGTAAGTAATTACGATTAGTTATTAACGTTATTATATTTATACTGGTGTTTGAGAAAATGGACCAGCTGCTTTATGAGGCTTTTTCAATTTTATTATACATATTGTAGTCTACGTTAATCCGTGTATGTAGTACACGTTCTATTTAATATATATGTTACATTAAAACTTAGTGATTATTTTGCCACTCAAGGGGGACATTATTAACAAAGTGTTCCGCCAGATGTAAACGTATATGAGTAGGAGTATTGGGCGATCTCCTAGGTACACTGTCTAAAGGAAAAAAAGAAGTTAATTGCTGTTGGTCTTGTCGTCATGCACCTGGAACAAGCTCTCCTCGCTAAATAAACAGTTGCCAATACAATTTTTGTAGCTTTTTCCGGTTCCACAAGCATTGGTTTTCGTAGTACTCGAAACACCGAACTCAGTATTCCAAATGCATTCTCAACTACCCTCCTTGCTCTTGTTAGACGATAATTGAATATTCTTTCAATAGATCCTCTTTCTGGATTACCCGAAAAGGGTTTCATGGTATATTCACTGAGGGCAAATGCTTTATCACACAGAATTATATACGGTACCTTCACATTGTAAGGAGTTTGTAATATTTCAGGATTCGGTAAATTTAGGCTTTTGTTTTCAAGGTTCCTGTACAAGGAAGTGTTTTTAAAAACACCTCCATCTGATATGCGTCCTTGACATCCAACATTTACGTACATAAAATTGTAGTCAGCGTCAACTAATGCTAACAATACAATGCTAGAATATTGTTTATAATTGTAAAATTCCGTTCCACTATTTAATGGTGCTTGAAGGCAAACATGTTTGCCGTCCATTGCGCCTATTGCATGAGGGAAGTTCCACTTTTCTTCAAATTCTTTTGCAACGGCCATCCATTGATTTTCAGTCTCGGGTAGCTGTAACAAATTATTTCATCTAAGTTAACGTTTTTCTTATTTTATTTTTCAGATAACTACCAGCAACAACACACAGAATGTGAATGAATCTATATCAAATGATGAACAATTAGCCAGTGATTCTGCCTCAACCATACAACAAGTACCTAGTGATTTGACTTCATCTACACAACAAGCACCCAGTAATTCTTCATCGTCCATACAACAAACACCAAGGAATTCTGCCTCATCCACAACAACAGCACAACACATCATTCTGAACTAAAAGGCGCCGTAATAACGATGACACTGCCACATTAACAGAAGCAGTGGGATTACTCAAGCACAGTGTACAATATTTATCCAAGGAAGAAGACTGTTACACTTCTTTTGGGACCCACATTGCGTATGAATTAAAAAAATACGACTCGCGAACATTTACACTAGTAAAACATGCTATAAATAATATTATATTTCAAGCTGATATGGGCCAATTACCAGGTCCATGTGGGTATTATACCGGTGCCTATTCAACGGATTTATCCAACTCTACCTCACGCCAAAGCCATTACAGCGACACGCAAATTCCAGCACAAACTGTACCTACATCAACACCGGAACCTCCAAGGGAAGCGGAGGATAATCAAAATGAAAGGAGAATGCCCATTAATGTATGGAATCCCGTACCATGTTGCATCAAAATCAAACTTTGTTTTTTATGAACTACACGGATCATATTTACTCCTACAAAAGTTTTTTTTTTTACAAAAACCCGGGTTTTGGTGTTATTTTATAAAATCGAAAATAACCTAAAAACTAGTTCTATGTTTTCGACACTACCAACGACCAATTTTAAATAGACACATTCAACACAGACGAACTTTATGACTCTAAAAACAGTGTTATTTACTAATATCAGTAAGAATTAAGAGTTATATCAACATATAGCCGTGCTACAGGACTGAAACTCTGAGATTTGCACCTTTTTTTTTGCGCCCAGAAGCAATGAAAAGGGCTACCCTCCGGGAAGCGAGGTGATGAATGCTCTAAGCATACCACGACAGCCGGCTGTGTGGTTATGTGGAACTCACTGCGAAACCTAAGTGCCTACCCACTAAACACCACCTGTGAGACTGACATTAGCTTGTGTGGCCTATGTTCAGCAGTGGACTTGTGAAGGGTTGTAATGATGATGATTATGATGACGATGATGACTGTGATTACACTACCACACTAATACCAATAAAACATAATCATAAAGGTGACCAGTCAGACTGAAAAAACGCTTGTTGAGTCTAGAGAGCGTCTTGAACAATAACCCTTTAATAATCTTAAGATACTATTCATGACAGACACTATTGCTCATGGTCATGTTATTGCCGTGAATAACGGATAGAAAAAATAAAACAAACAAGTCCATTTTTAATAATAGCTTTTGGGTTTTTTAACAGCGATTAAAAGTCAAAAACATTTATTTAATATACATTTACTTAAATCATACATTCATAATACTCCTGAAAAAATGATCTAAAGCCGTTGCCGGCGCAGTTACGTCATTATACCGTCTCCAGCTCAAATATCACAATATCGTCATTATATGAGCACAGCAGCCCACCATTCGCTTACCGACGAGGCAGCTGCAGCAATAGGTATCTAATGTGTTAGCCACAGCATCATCTCTGCTAATCAATAAATATGTGTGATAAGTACGACTGTTGACATGTCTAGATTTAATCCGAAGTACAATGTAAACTCATTAATTAAACACTCTCTGGCCTTAATCATTAAGCGTTCTAAGGTGACACGAGATTTATTAAAGAGTTGCCAACCTTTCACTACTATCACCAGTTCTCAGCTTAACTAAGTAAATACTTAAAGCAATTGTGGCATTTGGTACTTGTCCTAGCAGGACAAGTGCCAAATGCCACGAATGCTTTAAGTATTGTAAGTAGTATATCGTATAAAAGTCTAGCGACTTGGGATACAGTTTAACAAATCATAAAACTGAGCCGAGTTCATGCCAAGCCAAAAGTGACAAAAATATGTAGGCATAATTAAAATATTTGAGAAATCTATATGGTAATAGGCAGCTCGCTGCATTATATTCATAATTGTGTCAAATTGACTACCGGTAAAAATCTCTTAACTGGGAAGATAATTCACTCCAACGGCCATGATCCAGGTGGTGACGACAGATTCGTGCTGCCTGTGGCACATAGAATTTATAATTAAGTAATAACAGATTATAGATGAGGGTACCAGTAAACGTTCTGTTTCAAAACAATTAACAAATATACAGTGATTGGATGTGCTAGCGGCACGCTTATACATAGAAGACATAATTGTTGGATTTGATCTAACTTGGTATGTAGTGTGTAGTGTAACAGTGTGTAGGTTTTGTTGTGGAAGATGGGGCGGCTCAGGAATATTGAGATGCCCACTTGATCACGACATTGCACTTCTCTTGAAGCTGATCTCCAACTAGCAGCACATACTCTTTCCAATCTTGAGATCTAAAAAAATAACATGATTAAACATATAATACAAAATATTTCAAAATAGGTTATAAACTTGATAAAAGTTTTTACTGTAATGAGATGTAACTGTTAGGAATACATGATAATGATCAGGCAATAATTGTGTCAAAATAGATAATATTATCTAATACCTACAACATTATTTATTTGTGAAAGCTTCCCTTATCTGGACTCAATATAATAAACACATCTAATAATAGTATTATCACTATCAACTATAGAAGATTAGAGAAAAGTAGAACATTAAAAAGAGTTTGATATTTTTTTATATTACAACTAATAAAAATATTTACCAAATGCAGCGGGACATGTCTAACTAGAATCTGTCTCTCTTGTCAATCTTGTCTTACATGATATGTTCTAGTTGCTTGTAGAATAGAATTGCCACAAGAAAAATATCATTTTCTATGACCAAAACCAGGCAATCCTTCACTGATTGTGTTTGCTCCATCTTGAAGCAGTGTCAAACACTCTGTACAAAGCACACATTCTGAAGACAACTGCAATAAAAATCATGAATAAAAAAGTGTGTTATTACACCTTGTTGCGTTA